AACCAGCAGAGGAAATGAAGGAACTTTCTCTATGCCCCAAGGCAGGCAAACCACCTGGAGCAAGGTGGAGAGAGAAGCAATATCCTGAAACTTTATTAAATTCAACCCTGATAAAATTTCTGATATCAAAACATATCCTAAGAGTTAAGAATTGCAACTGTTGGAAGTGTAGCAGAATGGTCAAAAGCATACTCAGCTATTGGATTCTGAAACAGAAGTTAACCGTTCTAATTGTCCAGTTGTGGTATAAAAAATGCAAATTCCTGACTGACGTAGAGAATGTAATCCACCCTTACCTGTCCAGACAATCTGTGCCCATCCCCAGTCTCACCCCCATCCACAATGTTTACCCTCACTACACTTACAAATTACACATATGCTCACGCAGGACAGTGAACAAAAAGCAAAACACTAGGTTTGAGAATGAAATCATCCTATCTACTGTTTAAGGTCACTGACTGCTATTGACATTGGAATGAAGAGTAAGTTTTCATTAAGCATTTCTGCTCACCTGTGGTTCCAAATGCTACAGATGTTTGTTGAGGGCTGCACAGAGGGCATGCAACTGAGGCACCTTATGGGCACCACACATGTTCCTCATAAGTTGAGGACTAAATCCCAGCCGACTCCAAGCACTCAGTAGACTCATTTCCCCCATGTTGGGTGTGCATGTTAGGAAAAACCTGAGAAAGATTATGTCCTTTTTATAATAACACCTTTCCCTCCAGCCATTCAAAGGAACTTCACAGTGCAACCTTTTTTTCACCTTTGTTAGGCTCACCAAGTGGCCTGGAGGCTGCTGAGAACAAAGCGCCATTCAGCCTTGATACTCTTTGAAATTCATCACCAACTCCACCTGGGTCAATCAAGCAGACAGCAGCGCTAAGACTCAACTCACCGTGAGCCAAGACTGAAAGCCTCCTCAGTTACCTCCCCCAAGCACAATCTGTCCCAAGGGTTCCTCTGTGGGCCTGAAGAGTGTAAGTGGCAGAAGGTAGGATGCTGCCTAGAGCCACGAGTTGCGAGCAGCAAACTGGGTTCTCCAGCATTCAGAGACATTAGCAAACTATGTGTGAAAGTTTATGGATAAATGCCCAGGACTTTCCCTACAGGCCTCCAAATATTTTGGTTAATATCACCCATCAGCTCGCAAAGCAGCAACCACGAAGGTAGCAAACCTGAGCCATTCATTTTTATTATTTTAGTTTTCTAACAACTAACATCTACCGAACACTAGCTCTGTGGCCGGCAGAGAACTAAACCCTTGACACAGATTATCTCATTAAATATTCACAAGACCCTTAGTCAAGTGCCATTTTAACCCAGTTTTACAGGTGAGGAAAACCCTGGAACTTAGAGAAGTTAAGCTGCTGGTCCAAGGGCACAGAAATCCCAAATAGTAGAGGAGGATTTGAACCCAAATGAACTGAGCTATGCTATGCTGCCTCTGATTGAAATTTGATGGGGACAGTAGAAGTCGTAGTTAATATGGTAATTGCCGAGTAGATAAAAGAAAATCAACACTCAGTGCCTTCCATATGGTAATAAATAATGCTCATGCTTAAATGTTTATTCAACCTAATATGAAGGAAGCAAGTATTATTTAACTTTTTTGGTGAAAGGCACAATTGTATACACGAATATCTATTAGATAATAGTAGCTGGTTGCAGACAAACATGTCTCAAATGGTCACTATAGCTAAGAAAACACAAAATTTGGGTATTTGGGGGTAGTGTGAATATATAACACGATTCTTCCCAAGCAATATAGTAAAAAAAAAAAACCTGTTCAAGTGAAAAGAAAAAGAAAAAAGACCCTCCAGTAGTTATAATTATATATAAGTGAAGCCTTTGGAAAGTATTTAAAATCTGATTTCAGTGTCTAAATTATAAAGGCCCAAATTAATCTTTTTTGGGGGGCCAGGGCTGGGCTTGAACCTGCCACCTCCGCCATATGGGGCCAGCACCCCACTCCTTTGAGCCACAGGCACCACCCTTAATCATTTTTTTAAAATAAAGTTTACAGTGTAGCACCCAGCAAAGTGACCTATGCAGCAAGTTTCCCATAAATCATTCTGGAGCGAATGACTGAATTCACAAATACACTTTTACAAACAGACATGATCCTTTCCTTACATTTAGGATTTTTTTTTTTAAAATTCCATGATGGGGGTGGCATAACATTTTCTTATTAGTAATTTTTTTTTCTTAAAGGAATCTCAGGCTCTTCCGTTCAAATAAGAGGAAAGGAAATAACTTATCTTGAAAGACAAAAGGAAATAACTTGCCAAAAATAATTAAGATGAACAGAAATGAAGTTTTTGTTTTTATTAATATTCGAGAAAAAATATAAAAGTATCCTATAGGCAAGAGCAGGAAAACATATAAATTTAATGCATACGTTTAATCCCCTGTGATTGATGAAGACTAGACAGTTCCCAGCACATACAGTTAACATGAACAGGTAAATTCAGACCAAGAAAACACCTCGTAAAAGCCTTTTAATGCCTTGGATTACCTCAGGGACTCAAACATTGAACAAATATGTCCTCACAAATAACTATTCATTCTTTAAAAGAATTTAAAAAAACTAATACGAACATAAAAACATACATTACCCTAGTTATTTCCACAAGGTAAAAATGTTAGGTTAAATATACACTCATTCGTAAACCTCTGTCCTGCTTAAAAGGAAAATGAATAAATAAGAGAGGGGGTTATGGGAAATAATGAAGATATCCAGCAAAACTTTTTACAGCAGTCCAGCAGAACCAACAGCAAATCCAAGATTCTCCAAGTATCCCTACTCATTATGGAAATCCATAGCATTACCTGCTGAACGTCTGGGGCTGCTTTTGCATAATGCTTTTATCTCACTTTAGCAACTTAAAAACCACAGGTCATCTACAACCTTGGCATTCAGCTTTACTCTGGCATCCTTAGCACAATTAGCTAACAATGAAAGTACCAGGGTTCAGTTTGACAAGCGTCTTCACAAGGTTCTACCCAACTGCAAAGCCAATGGGACAAATAAATAGACTGTCCTGTACATCAGATGAGGTAGACCCTTAAAATTGAAGAGAGAGCTACATTATTTCAAAGCAACATGATTATTTTTAAAAAAGAAAATTGAGATCGTAATATTTTTGAAAGTAGTAATAACCTGAAAAATAGTAAAATAATCCACATCAAATGTGATTTGTGCTTTCTAAATGTACCCTACATATCTGTATATCATTTTCATAGATTAAGCATGTAAAAAGTGTTAGAATAACTTATGTACATAAAACATACCAAGCCATGGATTTAGTTTTCACAACAACTATCATTTGCCTAAATGTCTGGTACTAAGTGGTAGAAATAGTAGGGAGTAGAAGACAAACTGTCACACCCAACTTGCTGGAAGAATCTTTAAGGGATGGAGCCTGCTGATTCCGCATGTTGTGACAAAGCATTTTTGTAAAAAATACTGACAAGTACATTGTCTTGATTTTTTTACTACACTGAACTAAGGATCAATTTCAAAAGCCAAAAATAGGTCACTAAAGCCAAGATCTAGAAGTTATTACGATTCCAACAACTTCATTTTTCCACATTTACAAAATATGCACAATACATATTCCTTGAGACTAAACTCAGCCATCAGACCTACTTGTCAGTTTTCTTGTCTTTCTGAAAAGCGAATCAATCTATGAAGCAGACAATGGGCAAAAGTGGAATAAATTCATGGTCTGGAGCAGCAGTCTAATTGGGACACAGTAATCTTACAAGGAAAAGAAACCAGATGCTAATACTCTAAAAGAAAACAAGTTGCATAATATTTTCCAGAGTCTGATGAAATACTTTTTAACTTTTCCACTTTTTTTCATTGATTGTTTTAAAATATGTTTGCTGCTAAGGAGAAAAAGATTAGGGTGTGAATCTTGAAAGATACCCAAAGCTAGAAGATATTTATACAGAAGAGTCATTTTCCAACATCTGTTAAAAAGTTCTTACACCTGTACTTTAAAGTGGGGGGGGGGAACCAAACCCATAAACCTGGAAGGAAGTTTCATCAATTTCCTTTCTCAGTTGGGATTTCCACATCTACCTTGAGTTCCATCTAGCTCTTTCTTAAATCTCCAGAGAAACATGCACGTACCTGCGAACACATACGACGTATCTATCACTACACACCCAAGTTGATCAACACCATGGCAGAGGAGACAAGTCACAATACGGTAATCAGAACAAACGACTATGACAAATGAGTTTCTTTTGCTTCCTGCTCAGATCCCTAATGCCCCTATGACTACTCAATTCCGCTTCAGTCAGGAACTTTAAAGGATCATAAAGACAAACCAAGGTGCATTAAAAGAAGAGAAAGAGAACAGAGTGTTCGCTTCTCCGGGTCACTTCAAAATGAGCCAAGGGACCTGATGCGCGAAAGTGCAGCATTAAAGAATGCCAGCCCAGTTTCTAGATGCCCGAGTTAAGCACCGTGTAATCAAGAAAAGTAAATAAATCAAAGTGGTCATTGCCATTAATAATAAGAATAGTAATAACAATTGTCACCACGGCGTTCCGTACTGCAGCTGCACGTGGAGCCGGCCTCTCC